TTCGAATGCGGACTTTCACCGCCGCTGAAGGACACTTCTTGGAGATGCAGTGGCATTTCACGGTCTTTGATGGCTCGAGCATGAAATTAAGTTATCCCACGAACCACCCCAGACGACGTGATCGTTGTTCATTCCTCCACAAGTTGGTATCGTCACCTTATCAGGCAAAAGCATATGCTGACAGACATCGTAAAGTCAACCCGGTTAGGATGATTTGTCGGATGGGAAAGGGGATGTGAACGAGCTATCAATTAGAGGTGCCCCCTAGGTGGTCGCTCTGCCAAAGCCGTTGATATTGCGCGATATAAGGCACCGGGGCGTCGTTTTAATCAGCACTGACGATAGTCCGTGCGATAGGAAGAATGCGAACTGTCAATTGCTTTTTAAAATATCGGGAAACAGCTGGGTTGTGTAGACCAATGAACGTTTTCATTTATGCGTGTGCATTATAATTTTTAATCATGCAATATACTTATCGCCTGCTATCTTCTTCTATTTAACTTAAGATCACCTTTTATTCCTTAAACAGGATCCGACCCAAGGCGTAATATTAGAATTTCACCGTGTACCTAAAGGACAGCAATGCAGTATTTTTTGGCTAAAGATACTTGCCCAGCCTAAAAACACCTTCTTTCTATTCCAAGTATTTGTCATTTTGTGGGATTCTTCTATGCCGCATCTCTACCGTTCAGGATATGTATTAATTTCCTCTGCTCGTTTATCCTGTTCACGTGACCACTGTGTGTCTGTATCACTAGCTTATTCGGCAGTCAGGAAGAGTCTTGAAAAGCGGATGTTAGGCTTGTTCTCACTTTCATTTTTTTAAATTATAGATTCTTAATGAGGGCTGCCGGCAGAGGCGCGACCAAAATAGCGGTCCTCGCTCAGACTACGCTTGGGTATTACTTTTCATCTCCCGATCACCTGGACTTGGCCAAAGCATTCTACTGGCATAATGAAGCCTGTGGTTTTGGCAGCGTGGAGTCACAGGGTAAATTAAATCGCGCTCCACCTTTTGCAGCTGCATATGCGTTTTCATTAAATTTGTTATCTCAAGTTCTTTTTTTACCCTGTACAGCTCTTCATTTCACCTCAGTTAGTCTGTGCCGCAGACCATTTACGAAGGCCGTAAAGGTGAACTGTGTTGTGAGCCCATATGCAAATAATGGGCATTGCCACAACGGCAACCTTATTTGGGTTTTTGGCTGTTCAGACTATGCCCTAAACTGTTTTAGCCAAGTAAGCCTGCTGTTAAAAATCGAACTGAGATAGAATTAGCCCCAATTTCTTATAGTATTTATGCCGATTCCATCAGATACCCCTGATAAGTATCTGGAAGCATATGACACACGGCCTTTTTCTCTGGGTGTAACTAAGATCCGATGTAACATGGGAGGCGGAATTGGTCGATGTCAGTCCGTTAATAATACAGCACAAAGACAATAATATTATCGAACATAGTATTTATCTCAACTGGCAGCCTCTGAAATGACGCTGTCTTGAAATATTTTAGAAGCCGCTTCGAACTTGAACAAATGAATCGCAGCGATACCGTCTTGTAGGATTTTATACCTGAGAGGAGTTCGAATAACATTTTTCGACAGTACTTCATACTTTACGGTGCAGGCTGAAACTCATGCACAATACCGAAATTTGTGAAAGATTGCCTATCACTCGCAAACCGACATTAACGCGTGTACGAAAACTTTGAAATAATACTATACAACCTTAAGCGTATTAGGAACCTAAAACAAATAAAAAAGTACCAATTGTTTGTTTAGAAATATCAGCCTTTTTAAAATAGCCACAATTTCCGAAAATGTGAAAAGTTGCTATAAAGTTAACCAATAAATGTAAACATACTCAAATTGATCCCATTTTGAAAAATTTGCGGCCTCTGTGGGATTCAAGTCTTGCATTGTTGACGTGAGTTGGAATCCCACCGAGGTCGCGAATTTTTCATACTTGGGTCGATGAACTTATTCAAATCTGCCAGCCGCTCCTAATACTAGTAAATATAATTATCAGGTGGAATATTAACTGTGCTACTTTGTCATATTAAATGAACGTTTCTTTCGTCAACTTTTTTATGCATATTTCAGGTATAGGGTTGCAATAAGTTTCAGATCGTCCTGTAAATTCCGTCGAATTTTCTACGATTTTCAATATAAAGCTTTCTTCCGTAACAAAAACCCTTTATAACAAACCTCTTAAAATAAGGTATTTCTGCTTACCAAAAACGTGACTTTTAGATATTCGCTCTTATGAAGATGGTAATGTGGCCATATTTACAAATCAATCGAAAAACCAAAACGCTTTGCCGAACAAAAAGAACGTCCACAACAGAAGCCTGATATTGTTATGCCTAAGAACGAGTTAAAAACTTTCTGTGATTTATAACCTCTTTTGAAAGCATCTCTTCAAAAGGCAACCTCCGATTTCGCCAAAATTTTGCCTGTTACTCTGAAGTAAATTGAACTAAGCGGGCAGTTTCGGCTTTCTCGTGATCAAATCCCCTCGTTAGATAAAAATAATGGAAGTATGTATATGGATGACTACCGAGTCGAATTTCGATCACGACTTTGCATAAGTTAGCTCACCTACTGTAGTTAGTTTATCCTGTTCTGATACGAATCATTTTTCGGAGACTATAAAACGTTGAATGGAACTTGTAGATATTTTAGGATAGAAACTGTTGCTCATAGGAGGTATATATACACGAAGTAGGGCCGTCGTTAATAAGGCCGTTTTCTTTAGTAAAAGGCGTTTTGAGCCTCAACTTCAATCAACAAATCAATTTGTTTTTCTACGAACCTGTCGTTTCCTAAACGGTGTTGGGTTTTGGCGCTATGCGCTGGTGATGGCGGAGCAGGATTTTTTTGGCTATACGTCGGGTTAGCCTCTGCTATGTCCAGCTTGGGCAAAACACTTGGCCCAAAAGACTCTGAATCGCAGTTGGTCGTTTCAGAGAAGGTATCAACTCACTGTATCTGAAAAGAAAACGATTCCTCAACTGTGTCTTCGCCTGATATTCATCGATTTCAGATCATATTTCTGGTTCGAGAAGGGTTTTCTATTAAACGTTCCTTTTTAGTTGATACTCGGGAACTTCTGATTTCGCTTATGTCCTGTCTGCCTGCCTTCCTTTAATATAGAAGATTAATAAGATAGAAGAAGAAGAAGAAGAAGAAGAAGAAGAAGAAGAA